TCAAACCATAAACTATACAACACCAAGAGTGAACCCTGATATATACACTATGGATTTTGGGTGATAATGATGTCAATGTAGGCTCAGTAGTTGGAACAAATATACCACTGTGGTGTTAGATGTTAGTTGGGGAGGGAGTGTATATGTGGGGGCAGGAGATATATGGATAATCTCTGTACCTCCCATTCAACTTTGCTGTGAACCTAAAACTGCTTTTAAAAATAAAGTCCATTGGGGCATCTGGGTGGCTCAGTGATTGAGCATCTGCCTTTGGCTCAGGTCGTGATCCTGGGGTCCTGGGATTGAGTCCCACATCAGGCTCCCTGCAGGGAGCCTGCTTCTCCCTCTGCCTATGTCTCTGCTTTTCTCTCTGTGTCTCTCATGAATGAATAAATAAAATATTAATTAATTAATCAATTAATTAATAACTATTAAAACAGATTCTGACCCATTAATAAAGTCAGAAATCATGATATTAAATTAATAAATAAATTGAAATTTTGATGACAATTGTGATATTTACATTATTCAAGTACCTCCCCACAAAATACTTACTAATTACAAGGATAAAAAGAATAACTTGACAATGGAGAAGGCTAGCAGACACCATCTTAATCAAAGAGTGTAATAAGGTACCATGTTGGCAATTTACCCTCAAATAATACAAGAAAAATTATTTTGTACTATTCTTACAACTTTTAGGTTTTTACAATTTTTTAAATTCAACTTTTTGGGTGCCTGGATGTCTCAACTGGTTGAGCATCTGACTCTTGGTTTCAGCTCTGATTGTGATCTCACGGTCATGAGATTGAGCCCCTTGTCAGGCTCTACACTCAGCTCAGTCTGCTTGAGACTCTTTCCCCCTCCTACTACCTCCTCTTCTACTTCCCTCTCTCTCTCTAATAAATAAATGAATGAATGAATAAATAAATTAACAAATAAATAAATAAAATTATTTAAAAATAAAAAGATTCAGGGATCCCTGGGTGGCTCAGCTATTTAGCGCCTGCCTTCTGCCCAAGGCGCGACCCTGGAGTCCAGGGACCGAGTCCCGCATTGGGCTCCCAGCATGGAGCCTGCTTCTCCCTCCTCCTGTGTCTCTGCCTCTCTCTCTCCCTCTCTCTACGTCTATCATGAATGAATGAATGAATAAATCTTTAAAAAATAAATAAAAATAAAAAGATTCAAATTTATTTATAGATTATCTGCATGCTATAGAATGAAGTTGGACCCCTACTTCACACCATATACAAAACTGAACTCAAAATGTATCAACAATTTGAATATAAGAACTAAAATCATAAAACTTTTAACAGAAAACATAGAAGTTTTATGACCTGGGATTTGGTAACGGATTCTTAGACATGACACTGAAAGCACAGGCACCAAAAATAAAAATAAATAAATTGGACTTCATCAAATTAAAAACTTTTATGATTAAAGGACTTTACCAAGAGAGGAAAAAGGCAACCTATAGAATGGGATAAAATAATTGCAAATTAGGTACCTGCTAAGGATCTAGTATCCAGATCATATAAAGAACTCTCACAAGCCAAAAACAAAAAGACAGCTCAATTTTAGAATGGGGAAAAGAAGATACACAACAGATATTTCATACAAAGAAGATATACAACAGATATTTTTCCAAAGATACACAAATGGACAATAAATACATGAAAGTATAGTTAGCATCACAGATCATCAGGGAAATACGAATCAAAACCACAATGACATATCACTTCACGGCTGTTAGAATGGCTATCATCAAAAAGACAAGAGATAACAAGTATTGGTGAGGATGCAGAGAAAAGGGAACCATTGTGCACTGTTGGTGGGAATATAAATTGGTGCAGCCACAGTGGAAAATAAAAGGGAGGTTCCTCAAAAAACTAAAAATAGAAAAACCTATGGTCCAGCAATCCCACTTCTGGGTATCTTTTCAAAGGAAATGAAAACACGAAATCAAAGAGATATATCTACTCCCGTGTTCATTACAGCATTAGTCACAATAGCCGAGATATGGAAACAACTTAAGTGTTCATCAATGGATAAACGAATACAGATGTGATATATACGTATATACACATACAATGGGGTGTTATTCAGCCACAGGAAAGAAGGAAATCTTGCCCATTTTGAACAATATGGATAGACCTTGAGGGCATTATGCTAAGTGAAATAAGCCAAACAGAGAAAGACAAATACTGCATAGTATCACTTATAAGTGGAATCTACTCCCACCCTCCCCCAAAAATGTCAAACTCCTAGAATCGGAGTAACCCAGTACCAGGGGCTGAAGGATAGAGAAAATAGAGAGAGGTTGGCTAAAGGATACAAACTTTCAGCTATAAGATAAATAAGTTCTGGGACACCTGTGTGGTTCAGTCCATTAGTCATATGCCCTTGGCTCAGGTCATGATCCTGGGGTCCTGGGATCCAGCCCCACATCAGGCTCCCTGCTCAGCGGGGAGCCTGCTTCCCTTTCCCTCTGCCCCCTCTCCCACTTGTATTCTCTCTTGCTCTGCTTGCTCTCTCTCAAATATATAAATAATCTTTTTTTAAAAAGATAAATAAGTTCTGAAGATCAATGTAAAATGTAGTGACTATAGTTGATAATTGAAGTTTGCTAAGACAGTAGAATTTAAATGTTCTCACCAAAATATATGTGTGCATGGGTGGGTGTGAGGTAATAGATGTATTGAGGTAATAGATGTATTAAGGAACTAGATGGGGAGGATCTTTCTACAATGTATACATATATGAAATAACCACAATATACATTTTAAATATCTTACAATTACTTATGTAATATATGTGTATATATACATTATACCTTAACAAAGCTGAAATACATAAATAAATAAAAATTTCCTTACCTTATCACATTTGTCTGAAAAAAAGAAGATATATAAGTGGCCGACAAGTACATGAAAAGATACTCAACATCATAAATCATTAGGAAAATTCAAATCAAAACCATGAGGAGATACCACTCTACACCCACTTGAATGGCTATAATTTTTTAATGGAAAATAACAAGTTTTGGTAAAAGGATGTGGAGAAATTGGAACCCTCATGCATTGCTGATGGGAATGCAAAGTGGTGCAGCCAGTTTGGACAACAGTCTGGCCATCTTCAAAATCTTACTACATTACCTGACAATTCCACTTCCACTCCCAAGAAGGTACCCAAAAAGAATCGCAAACAAATACGCGTACACATGCATGTTCACAGCAGCATTACTCACAATAGCCAAAGGACATTTGAAAAACAATCTAAATGTCCAGCAATGGATGAATGGGTAAATAAATGGTTGTGTATACATACAATGGAATATTATTCAGCCATAAAAGGGAATGATGCATGTTGTAGCATGAGTGAACCTCAAATATACCAAGTGAAAAAAAACAGGACACGGAAAGCCACATATTGGCTCCACTTACATGAAATATCCAGAATAGGTAAATCCATACAGACAGAAAACAGATGGGGAGTTGCCAGGGGCAGGGAGGAAGGGGCGTGAAGAGTAAATTCTCACTGGGCAAGAGGTTTTCTTGGAAGATGAGGAAAATACTTTTGGAACTAGACACACATTGCATAACATTGTAAATGCAGGGATCCCTGGGTGGTGCAGCGGTTTAGTGCCTGCCTTTGGCCCAGGGCGCGATCCTGGAGACCCGGGATCGAATCCCACGTCAGGCTCCCGGTGCATGGAGCCTGCTTCTCCCTCTGCCTATGTCTCTGCCTCTCTCTCTCTCTCTCTGTGTGTGTGACTATCATAAATTAAAAAACAAAACATTGTAAATGCACTAAATGCCACTAAATTGTTTGCTTTGAAATGATTCATATAATATTATGTGAATTTCACCTTAATGAAATTTCTTTTCACCTTAAAAGAAAAAAGAAACTATTCATTTTCTTCCCTAAATCTTATCTTCTCCATACATACACACACAAATATGCACACACAAACACACAAATATCCACACACAAACACACACACATATATAATCTCTAAATTTTTGGATTATAAACAAGGTATAAAATAAATATCCATGTGTCCATACTGATACAAATAAGTGATTGAATTTAAAAATTAAGGAATAGGGGACAAGAGATAGAGTTCCCATGCAAAAGAATTCCAAAGAGTTTACATAGTTACTCCTCCACCTCAAAGAGGTGGAGCTTAACTCCCATCTCAACTTCCTTCCATAAAACAGAATATTAAAAGGGGTCTGAGGATGTAACTTCATGGCGCAGAAACCCAGAAATACAACCTTACCCAAATGGTCAAGCGTAACATCACAGTGAGAAGCCATGTTGATAACATGTGCCCCCCAATACGTGATGAGAAGCACGCTTCAATTCTGTGGTCTTCCTCCCAAAAGCCCACAACCCACTGTGGGCATGGAAAAGACATCAGACAACCCCAAACTGAGAGGGACAGTCTACACAATATCTAACCGATACTCTTCAAGACCATCATGGGAAAGTCTGAGAAACAAGGAAAGCCTGAGAAATGGTCACACACTGGCAGAGCCCAAGGAGACATGACAACTCAACAGAATGTGGTGTCCTGGATGGCATGCTAGAACAGGAAATGGGCTTTGGGGGCAAACTAATGAATTAGAATAAACTGTGGAGCTTAGTAAAGAGTAGTGTACCGGTGCTGGTACCTCAGTGGTAGGAAATGGACCCTAATTCAAGACACTAACAGGGAAGACTTGGTGAAAGGTGTACAGGGAGTCTGTATTATCCTTGCAACTCTTCTGTAAATCTATAGCTATTCTAAAGTAAAAGTGTTTATTTTTTACAAAAGGCAATGCTATCATATACATATACATACACACGTGTAATACATACATGCTTACATATGCACAGAACACTCTAGAAACCATAACACCAGAGGCCTCTGATAGGATCAAGGTGCTTGAAGGACAGAGGAGGCCACACCCTTTTCTACCTTTTGAATTTTCAATATCAATAGTTAAAAAGCAAATGTTCTCTGCAGACTTTGGCAGCACATATACTAAAATTGTAACAATGTGAAGATTAGCAAGGTCCCTGAATAAGAATAAATGCAAATTTGTGAAGCATTCCACATTTTTTAGAGTTTAGTGGGTATAGAGTTTTAGTTTTAGAAGATAAAAAAATTCTAGAGATCTGTTGCACAACACTGTAAAAATATCTAACAAAGCTTAACTGTACCCTTAAAAATGGTTAAGATGACAAATTTAATATTGTACGTTTTTTTCCACAATAAAACAAGAAAGTGTTCTGAAGCAAAAGTAACAAAATGTTAATATCCATTCAGCGATGGGTATGCAATTTATCCGAATAATATTCTATCATTTTCTGCATATTTGAAAAATTAAAATCTCGGGCAGAGGACCCTGCATGTGCAAAGGCCCTGAGGCAGGATGAAGCCCAGCCAGTGTGTGCTGGAGAGCAGGGAGGAAAGGACAAGGTGGCACAAGATGAGAGAAGTAGGTGGGGACTTGATCATACAGCCACCAAGGACAACACCCTTCCCGCACATTCCAGAGGCCCCTGCCCCTGCCAGCCTAGAGGCTGTTTCTTTCTCAAGTACTAACAGGACTCCTGAGTGCCAACCGGGCCCAGACTCTGCTCTATCCTGAACATGACAAGCCCATTGTTCCCCCTTCTCCTGCAGGCTGCTTTCCCCTCAAGAGGCAGTTCTGAGGTGACAGGTTTCTGTAGGCGGATCCCCCAAGGTGGAACTCACAAAGACTCGACTGTCTGGGGCACCAGTCCCGACTCAGCAGCGCAGAATCCTTGCCTGATCCTGCAGACTCCACATCAAAGAGAAGATCAGAGCTCCTGCCAGCCACCCGCACACAGCACATAGCCCAGCCCTGGACCTGGAGTAGTTCTCTTTGGCACATTTCACCCTCGGGGTGAGGAGGGAGGTGAAGGCAGGATACTAGGGGTAGCTCATAGGCACTATGTGGATACCCATCAGGAGGAGCGCCAAGGTGCACCTGGGTGGCTCAGCGGTTGAGCGTCTGCCTTCGGCTCAGGGCATGACCTGGGGTCCTGGGATGGAGTCCCATTTCAGGCTCTCCACAGGGCGCCTGCTTCTACCTCTGCCTACGTCTCTGCCTCTCTCTCTCTCTCTCTCTCTCTCTCTCTCTCTCTCTCTCTCTGTCTGTGTGTCTCATGAATAAATAAATAAAATCTTAAAAAAAAAAAAGGAGCACCAAGCTATGGGGTGACATCATTTCCCACGCACACAGCACTGCATGGTCCATAGCACACCACGAGGAAGGCAGAGCAGGTATTGATATGTGCACCACAGATAAGGAAGTGGAATCGGAGTGTTCCAAGGTCACACAGTTGGTCAGAAGGCTCAGACCCTTGAGATCCCTGTCCGGTGCCCTTCCCAGGCACCCAAGGAGCCTTCCACCCCGAGAGTGGCAGTCTGACCAATGAAGACACTAGGGCTAGATCTCCCAACCTCATCACTTGGTAGCTGGGATCTTTGTGCAGACAATGGCCTCATAACCCTACTGGAAATACCAACTGCCACCCACTGCCTCCACTCTTCCCGTCCCCCTGACAGCACGCTACCCCATCACAGCATGCACGTCGTCTGATCTGTGGCCTGCCTGCCGTCTACCTCCCCACTAGACAAAACCCTCCATGAGGACAGGCCCCAGGATTGTTTCATTCACTGCTATATCCCCCTGGGCTTAGAATAGTCCATTACAATAGGTGCTTAATAAATAGGCACTGAACAAACAAATGAGGTCACCACTAAATGAAGTTCCTCCAAGTACAAGGGCCATCCCATGGGAGTTGGGAGGTGACAGGCTAGTCATGGCTGGGCATGGGAACAACATGTGGTTGGAGGGGATGTCTGGGAAGGCTTCCCGGAGGAGCTGGGGTCTGAACGGGACCAGTTGGCTTTGCTAAGAGAGTTGAGGACAGCTGCTCGAATCCCTGTACCACCACAAGTAGGGGTCAAAGTCAAGGCGGGCCAAGGCTGGGCTCTGCCTGGCTGACTAATCAAAATTCCTGTAGGTCAGCCCTACAAAATGGGTTCCACTTTCTCCTTCAGGCACACTGCAAATAACTATATATTGTAGACCTTCTTGGATGCCCATGAACAGTCAAAACTATAAATGTGGAATCTGCAAGGTCTCAGCTGTGTTACTTTGGGGACTGGGAGTAACTCCAATGACTAGTAGGAGGAAAATGAGACTGAGTGGTATAAGAGAATTCATGATTAATAATGAGGCATATAGGAGGTAAAGGGAGAGAGGGGCTCAGCAGAGCTGGAGTACTTAAGGAAGGCTCCATGGAAAAAAGGTGTCCTATGACCTCAGTCCAGAAGGATAGTCTGAATTCTGTGTCAGAATGTGTTTGGTTACAAACAATGGAATACCTGAGTTAAAGTGGCTTAAGCCATGAGGACATTTAGGTTAGCCTCACAGCTTGAGTTCAAAGAAAGGCAGTCCTGGGGTTGGTTTAAAAGCTCCAAGAGGCCCTATGCCCCTTTTCCCCTTCCTTTCTGCCATCCTCAATCAACTATTAGCTTTTATCTGAACATGTATTGCCTCACAGTAGCAATGTGGCTGCCACAGCTCCAGGCATTACCTCCTCCCACCACAATGTCCAAGGCAGGAAAGGAGGCCCAAATGTCCATCATGGATAAATAGATTTTGATGCATTCATAAATGGAAAGCCCACAGCAATTAAAAAATAAAAGAATGAAGTATTACTACAAGTAATAGCATGGGAAATGCTATTCAGCAAAAGAAGCCAGACATGGAGATACTGGTAATGGGGTAGCCATGTAAGTGTGGGAACAAGGAGTATTTGGGAATCTATACTCTCCTTTCACTTTTGCTGTGAAGTTAAAATTGCTCTAATATATACAAAATATATATTAAAAATATATATATGTATTTATATATATATATAATATTTTAAAGATCTTTTTTAAAGAAGCCAAACATGAAAGAAGACAATGGATGATCCCACTCCTATGAAGCACAGAGCAGACCAAACTGACCATGGTGATACATTATTCTTAATGGTTACCCCTGATGGGAGGTATGGGCTGGGTAGGGCATGAAGGAACCTTCTAGGATGCAGCAAATGTTTTATATTTTGATCCGAGTAGCAGTTACAAGAACATATATGCAAAAACTCATCAAGATGTGTGCACTTCATGGTGCAGTCGTTTATATCTCAATTTTTTTTTTAAATCAAAGCATCTAAAAGAGAGAAAAGGGGACCACTATACAGGCCTCTCTAATCAAGGGAGAAATGTTCCCAGAGGCCCCAGCAGCTGTCCCCCAAACAAATTCTGGGCCAGAACTGGGTCACATGAACACCCCAGTCCCCATTATCAGCCAAGCTGGGTGGAAGCACCAAGACCGGCCAAGGCCAATCACGACCAAGGTCATGGTGCTAGAACAAAACTAGGGTTCAGTGACAGAAGGAGATGGGTGAGGGCTGCTGCGCAAGCGGCCAATGGTGTCTGCCACAACTGCAGAAGGCCCCGAGAAATGAGGGTCCATCTGGGCAGGGGTCATAAAAGTGGAACCAGCTTCTGCTCACCAGACGCTCCCATGTGCACACGCTTCAAGATGGCAGCAAGCGAAGAAGGATACACAGAAATCATGAGGGAGAAAGTCCAAAAATCATTGCCAGAAACCCACTCTATCTGTCAGGATTCTCCAGAGAAATAGAATAGGGTGAGCAGGTGGATGAGACCAGGAAAATCTGCTGGGCAGTGGGGCCAAAACCTCAGCAGGAATGGAGGCAAATTTCTTCTCTGGGAAATCTCAGGTTTTGCTCTCAAGGCTTCCAATTGATCGGATGAAGCCCACCCACACTATCAAGGGTGATCTCCTTTACTTACAGGCACTGATTGCCGACGTTGACCACATCCCCAAAATCCCTTCACAGCGACCCCCAGATTAGTGTTTGATTAAATAACTAGATACTGGAGTCCAGCCAAGCTGCCACAGAACACTGCCCACCGGCCAGCTGACCCAACTTCAGTTGTGCTTCCTCACGCCGTCTCCCATTTCCCCAATCCACCCCACCCCAACTCCCCGTCCTTATCTGAGCTCATGTGGGCCACCGTGAATCTCCAGACAGCGGCACTTCCACGGTCGAGATCTCCAGGGGCCTCGCCCAGTGGGGTTCCACACTTGGGTGGAGTGGAACCAGAAAGGAGGTTTCTATCAAGAGTCTAGAACAAGAGACCCGGACTTGGCCAAATCAGCCACAAAAACCCTGGGGGACTGGCAAGGGGGTAACTGGGATGCTGCTCCCCCAGATGAGCTGATCTTTGTTGGGATTCTTGGTTTTTATCTGCTCAATGGATTCCTTGGTATTCGCTGTCTCTCATAAACATTTTTCTGTGATATATACTGTAAATCTGCTTCATTTGAAATTCACAGCTAATGACCTACTCTCTCATATTCAGGAAACAGAATAAGGTTCCGGCTTTTAAAGGCCAGGAGTTTACTAGCCTGAATATGACAAGTATTACAAAGTATAGGCCTGCTCTAAAAGCACTTAAGAAACAGTCTCCGTCAGAAAATTCAAGAATACCTTCAAATAACATCATTTATCTGCCAAGAGGCCAAAGGGGTGGGGAGCGAAGGTGGGTGGGAAGTAAACGAGGATTTGATCAAATCCATATTTTCAGCTCCCCGGGTGAAGGAGAGAGAAATATTTACTAACACCCCTCCCTCTGAGAAGCTTGTGTGCACACTTGTGTGGGCAAGGGGTCGGGGGCTGTGCACCGGAGCAAGTGCGTGCAAGCACACGTGTGCATCAAAGCCGTGTCCCCTTCGGCCACCCGCCCCCACGGCGGACTCAAGACAACTCTGCGCAATCTGAATTCTAGGATCAAAGAGGTAATTAAATAAAATGAGTATCCCCGTTTTCGGGTCGGCCCACTTAACTGAAACCCAAAGCCAGCTCTTGGACTAAATTGGGCTGAGGCCAAATCGATTAGGCCCATCCGCACTTTCTCATTTTCAATAGAGTCAGGGCTTAACCAGGTTAGTTTTGTTAAACACATTAGCCAGGTACTCTCCTCTCTCCAGCCCAATGATTTTGT